GATATTCTTGAAGTCTCCAAGCTGCTTCCATTGGACTTACATATCTAGCATCTACATAACTACTAATTTCATCTACTATTTCTTCATTTAATTCGTTTGATTTTCCTATTTTAATGTATATTTAATATCATTAATTAACATGAATAGAATATTGGATTTTATTTAAAATTTACGTGTTTTTTTTATTTCAGATAATAACTTGAATGTTTCAAGATAGATTGATGTATCAGGAATCACAAATTCCCACTAAAAATTTGACGCGGTGACGGTAAATTTATCGTATTCCAACATATATCATTTTCCAACAATTACTTTACTGTGTAACTGAAAAAGTTAAGAATAAATAAGAATAAATACACACAAATTGTAAAAATGTATTTCTTATAAAATATTCGGAAGTTGGGGGGTTGGCGCGCAGTGCGCGCAGGGGGGCGTAAGCCCCACTAGTATATATATATATTTGAGGTGGATGCAGGGGATAGGTTTTAGTTTTAACTTTGGTTACTTTGTTTTATTGTATAGGCACTTCAGCGGTGTAGTAGTCACATCTCCCTCAAATATGGCGTCGCGATGGAAGGCGCAGAACGGCACGAAAATGAGACCTCGGAATTCGGAACGCCACACCTTGTATTCTTACATCATGGTAGAGAGTTTGTTCCGTAAGCTTTAGCGGTTAATCTTCAAGTATCTCGGTATCCTAGATGACATTTAAGTGCAATAGGAAAAGTATGACATTTATCTTTCTTACATTAATAAGTTATCTACACATTATCTTAATACTTGGATTAAACGGCCAGTGCTTGCGGAACGCACCTAGGGAGATCGCATTAGCACACAGCCAGACTTAAGTTGGCTGACCTCCCGGGGAGGTTCTCCCCACCGTTGGCAATGTGCGAGGAAGACAGATATATGCGCTCAATGCTGTGTCTCTTTCTACTTGTGCTTCAGCCGCTTCAGCGCCGTACAAAGGAATGATACGCCTGAGCATACATATGTAAGAAATGTAGACAGCTTGTTCTTATATATGTACATGTGCTGCAGTGCTGAAGAGAGACGCAACATTGAACGTGGATGTATCCAGCCAGCACTTCGTTAACTGTAAGGATTGTAAAAGTTATCTGACAAAAGGTAAAAGAAAAGAGAAGATAACTTAAAAGCTGCGTAAATAAGACATCTGTTAGATATGGTAAAGGAATCTGTAGTCCACCATCAGGATATGCTCACTGGATGTCGTAACGTGATTTTGCAGATAACTGTAAGATAAAGCGATGTATAAAAAGTTGTTCTTCAAGTTCACTTAATGTTGATTCCTTCAGTTACATTTTAATATAATATCTGGACGTTATCACTTTACGGATATTGGAGCTATTCACATTTGACAGACATTTTTTTGCTTATTTCATTGTGAACGTTCATATTGAAAATGGGGTTCCACCGCTAAACTTAAATTGAGTGAACAGACTGAACAGACCTATACTGTGTTCTCTCAGTTCTCTGTCAGTCAACATAGTTGCGACCATGGGTGTGGGTGTAATCCGCAATCGCCACCAGCAGTTACATATGTATAAGATGTAAGACTACTTACTCTTTTTCGTGACATTTTCTGATTGTAAACAAAGCGTATTGTGCTAGACGTAAACAAACACGCAGACCAAAAAAAATAGTTTCAAGTGCCAAAAAGAAAAATGGAAATAATAGCTTTACTGCTAGCGGGATTGCGCGGGATCACAGCAAAAATGTCACGAAAAAGAGTAAGTAGACCGACGTTGTTTGCTTTACTGCTGGCGGGATTGCGGATCACATATCACGTCACCAGTAAATCGACAGTAGCGCCCCCAACCACGCAACGTTGTCACGTCTTACATATGTAACTGCTGGCGGCGATTGCGGATTACACATTTACACCCCATAGCAGGGTTGGGATTTTGTTGCCTGATGGAACTTAGAGAATATATACGTGGAGGAAGCATTGTATGCTTCGACCACGAGACGAGATGAGAGAGACAAAAGACAAATAGCAGTGCAACCTTTCTCTCTCTTACACGCCTCTGATTGGTTGGCCCCCTTCCGTATATATAGGTATAGTCGTATCGACGAGTGGCGGTCGTGGGGGAACAGAGCAGATATATGTAACCTAAGCTCTGATAAAAAAGAACTGATATAATACCAACCAATCAGAGGCGTGTAAGAGAGAGAAAGGTTGTACTGCTATTTGTCTTTTGTCTCTCTCATCTCGTCTTGCGGTCGGAGCATACAATGCTTCCTCCATGTATATATTCTCTAAGTGATGGAAAAAGAGGTATAGGTCTGTTCAGTCTGTTCACTTAATTTGAGTTTAGCGAAACAGTGGAATCCCCTTTTCAATATGAACGTTCACAATGAAATAAGCAAAAAATGTCTATGTCAATAGCTCCATTATTTTTGCTCTTCTTGCAGTTACCATTGCGACTTCTTTTCGGAATAACGTCAAGATAACTTGGTTATGGCAAACTTCAGATATCTGAAAGTTGAACGGTGCTGGCTGGGATCTGTCTCTCTCGCACATTCCCAAAGGTGGGAATGTGCGAGAGAGATAGATACCCACGCTCGATGCTGTATCTTCTTCCACTTGTTCTTCAGCACCGAACATAAGAACGAGCAGTCTATTTTTCTTATATGTCTATGTTGAGTCAGAGACTCTGGGCCTGGGCCTGGGCCCCAGAGTTTCTGATTGAGCATAGGCAGCAGGTCTCGCGACCATAGAGATATTAAGATAGAGTAAGCAAGCCTGTAAGTGGAAGCGTATATAGAATATAGAGTAGTGGAGTAGAGTTATCTATATAATATCTCTATGCTCGCGACTCGGCTCGATGCGATAGTCAACTATATCTGCAATGAACACCCTTACAATGGCTTACATATACCTATAATAAATAACAAATTAATGAAAGCAGCATCTATAGAAAGATCATGAACAACATCATAGACATTGGGTTTGCAGAGGAGTGTGAGTCCTGGCGTTTGTGTAGTCGCTTTTTTCCCAGCAAAATTGGTGGAAAGCCAGCCTGGCTGGATCTCCAACATATACCTACAGCTGAGCAGCTTACCTGTGATTACTGCCAGAATCCTTGTATATTCCTTTGTCAGGTGTATGCACCCTACGACGACGACGACAGGACATTCCATAGGACGCTTTTTGTGTTCGTCTGCAGAGACCCGAGCTGTTGCAAGGACAACGAGAACGGCAACGTGAGAGTCTTCAGATCCCAGCTTAGTAAGGTAAATATTTTCTACCCGTCCGATCCACCTGTCGAGAAACAGCATTGGAGGTCTGATATCAGTAAGTGTTTGCTTCTGTACATGCAACTTCTGATTGTAATATTAATTTTTAAAATTAAAATTGTTTCATGCTTACAGGTGTGGAGAAATGGACTAAGACATGTAATTTATGTGGTATCTTCTCATCCAAACAATGTTCTATGTGTAAAAAAGTCAACTATTGTGGTAGGTTCCATCAAGTCTGGGACTGGAAAAATGGGCACAAAAGCTCCTGTGACAGGAAAAATATAACAAGTAGCAGTTCTAAGTTTTTATTCCAAGAATATGAGCTTGTGATAGAAAGAGATGACTGTCACCAAGAAAGTGAGGATAGTAATGAAAAAGATAAAGTTGAAAAGTATGAGTTTACAAAAGCTGAAAAAACTGGAAGTCTTCAGTTAGAAAAGGAAATCGATGATGATTTACTCATGATGGCTAACAGCTTTGAAGATAAGACATTCTCTAAATTTACAAAGAGGATAAAGAGTAATCCTCATCAAGTATTAAGGTATACAAATTGATGTCTACAAAATTTTTTAAATGCAAGTTTTCACAAGTTTTGTAAAGATGAACTAATAAATTTTTTTATTATAGATACAACAGAGGTGGTAAGCCTCTGTATATTTCATCAGAAAACCAGATGGATGATATTCCAAAATGTGAGTGCGGAAGTGAAAGACAGTTTGAGTTTCAAATAATGCCTCAACTGTTAGTAAAGTTGAATTTAGATAATGTTTTGCATAATATTGATTGGGGAGTCTTATTAATCTACACTTGCAAACACTCGTGTGCAACGACCCACAAATATGCTAATGAGTATGTTTGGAAGCAAGATATTGTTAAAGTCCCAATAAATGATTCAAAATAAAAAATTTGGAAAATGTTTAAATCTTTAATCATAACTTTTTGTTTTCTGTATGTATAAATTTTTGTTTTAATAAATACAATATAAAAATGAAACATACTTTACTTTCATGGCTTTAATCATAACCGTGTTTACTGTTTTAGTCATAGAAAAATATATTTTGGTTTTAGACAGTGCAGTGCAGCACATGTTTCCATTAAGCACAAATTATTGTATTTTTAATATAATTTACAAAATAATAAAGAATGGGTAAAAAAATATGTTCACATTTCTTTGTAAGTAATTTGGGCAGGAAAAATGTGGATAAAATATTTCGTGGTCATTATTCATAACCTTGTAATCAGTTACACTTTATGTATAATAATAAGTGCATAATTCAATTGTATGTACATTGGTAATAGTTAACCATATGTGCAAATAGGCACAGCACTTTAATTGTTTATTACGCAACACTTACAAAAATGTTTAGGACCCCTTAATTGGTAACTTTTGCCTGTATTAAGACGACGTTTGTAGAGATCAAATTCGGCAGAAAGAGTTTCAGATTTTACAAAGACGCTCTTTTTTATTGATAAATCTATGTAATGGCATATAACACTTGTTTATGTAATTTACATAGAATGAGAAAAAACCTTTGAGGTGATCCTTAAAACTTGAGTTAGATATAGTTGCAGGTATTGATCAGACGAAACCACACTCCCAACCTATATTCATGAAAACAATTCCATTAAAAAGGGGGTTAATTGATTTCATCATACATCTATATTTAAAATTACAAGCTTACCATCAAGAATTTTAGAGCAGCTTTTTAGTGTAATTATATTAAGTACGCTTAGCAGAATTCCTTCTTTCTCGAGATAAAAAATAACGAGCCACGACATTGCAAAAGTTGTAATGCATTCAGACCCAGCTAACTTACAAGTAATCAACCATTTTTTTCAAATAAAGTGTCAACCAGCGACATATGGGGTAAGCTTTACTGTAATCCCTACAGTAGGAATTTTATTATTAAAATACAAGTTAATTCAGCAAAAATAGTTATATACTTTAATTACTTTATTTTACCCTACAAGTATAGATTTTTCAACACTAAGACCATTAGTAAAAGAAATATCACATTTCAAGCTGCTAGGAATGTGTTGTAGTTTCAAAATAGGCACTTGAATGTCAGATAAAATTTGATCAATAATCCAAATATCTGGTTGATTCTTAAAAATTGTTTCAACCTTTAACAGGATTTTTTCAGACTCAGCTTAATTCGAAATTCTTTAGTATCCATTTTCACAGTCTAAAAAAACATTCTCATCACTATCTGAGAAACCCAAGTTTGATAATCTAAATCCAAAAATGTGAGCTGTTGCATTTTTGTACATTTGCTTGGCTGTATTCTCGATATCTTCCAGTAACTTCAACTGATAGTGCTTTTCTAAAAAAACTTTATTAGACTCACTTAATAAATTATCCATTTTTATATCAATATTTTTCAATAGATTTATAGTAACAGCTGACATTTTAGGTACAGTAAAATCACCATTGTTTACAAAACGCCTTTGGAATATGCTTTCACAATTTATGTATATATACAAGTAAAAGGAAATTTTTTGCCCAATTGTAATTGTCAGATAAGTTTAAAGCGAGAAAAACGATTTCTGCGTTCGCCGACAAATGTTATTTGTTAAATAAATAATTTGCAATAAATTTTTGAAAATCGACATTATGTTCAATGTTATTATTTTGACGAGCTACCCCAAATTAAAAAAAAGGTTGCTCTACGACCTATGGTTTCGGAGATATCGCTAATTTTTTCGGCCACTGCTGTTTTGAAGCTGATACTTAGAAAGATCTCTGCGTGCCGCAAGAGTGCGGTTGTGACGTCATCACTCGAAAATCTGCCTTTATCGATTGAAAAATCATTGCTTTTGAAAAGGCCGTTATGCAACAATAGCCGGTTTTATCAATCTGTAATTTTAGTATTAGAAAGATGAGCATTTGATGCATGCACTGTGTAAATTAAAAAAAAAAAATTATTTTTCACCGAGATACAATAATAACAAAATAAAAAATTATCTCAGCTTCTACTTTACGACTTTTTTTTGTTGTAAATTTGTAGAAAAATAGCAGCTACAATATGCGCCTACTCCTGTTGTTGTACGACTGAAAATGCAACAGTTATTTCGTTTATTTATACTGTCAAAACGTACCTGTTTTTCAGTAGCGTTTTACAACAATAAAATGTGTAAAAATTAATAAAATCCACTTTCTACTTGATAAAGTAACTCTTAAGGAAGAGAATCCAATCAAAATCAGTAGTGTAAGTTGTTTAAAAAAAAAATGAGAGCGATTCTACGAAAGCACCTTTTTAATAATTAATTGACTTTTTGCAATAACTATTGAGTCGATCGATTTGAAATTTTCAGGGCTTATTAACATCATCAAGGCGCAAAATTTCCAATTATTTCGGGAACAGGGGGTTAAAGGCGCAAAATTTCCAATTATTTCTGAGGGGGTATTTGTTATTAAGATTCGAAAAAAACGCTATTTTTAGTGGTTTTTTTAACTTTGCGGACGAACGAAGTAACCGATTTTAATTTTTTTTTTTTTTCTTGTAGGTCTTTTTAAGAGCTACATTTTTTGTCTGAACCACTTTTTTGTATGATTTACAGTTTTCACGCGATATTAAATTTGGTGATTTTCGCTACTATCCGAATTTTTTTAACAAATGTTGCACTAAAAATCAGCTGTTCCTGAAGACGGAAATTGAAAAGTCTAAGTTTCTTGTGTATGAATAAATTTTTTTTTCTGCAGTATCTGTAAGTTTTTGTCAAAACCGTAGATCTCTTACTCTACAGATGGGCTCCCAGCTTTAGCATTCGAATTTTGTTGGGATCTGGACCGGATATATTTTGTGGTCCAGATTCAATGCACAGTTTAAAGTACTTACTACCATAGTGTAAAACAATAATATTGTGCGTTTCTAAAAATTCTTCTGACGTTTTGAATATAGTTGTAAATGGTTATGGGTCAATTTAGAGTCGGATTCCATAAGATCGATTTAACGTTTTATACAGATTTTGAAGATCATTTAATGGATCAATTTTTTTTGAGTTTATAATTAAGCCTTCGTTTTTTTTTAAATACCGATTATCATGTTAGACATACAACATCATCAGCGCGCAAGCGTCTCTGTACTTAAAACCCTTTTATATCCCCGACTACCCCAACGGAAAAAGTTAGTGTGAAAAAACGTAGCAAACCGTAACTTTCTGTGATGTAATGTACAGTTTGGTTGGATTTCTGACCACAGTTACAGTTTGTTACGTTTTGTTACGTTTGATTATAGTCAACAACTAGGTACAACCCAACACATTGTCTTACGATTCGTTACATTTTATTATATCTCTAAAAAGACACTTGCATCTCGTGAAAAAGCAACTGTAGTAAACTCTAATAAACTGTAAGGAAATGGTAGTTGTTATCTGTAATGTTTTATAACAGCTAACAGTTTTTTGCAGTTTATTACACTTTTTTATATTTTATTATCATTGATAACTTTTAGACACATTTTCTTACATTTCCGAATAAAATTTGCCTTAAATGACAAAAACTTGAGTAACTATTATGGAAAAATGTAAGTGTACCCAGCAGGCATTATTTATTCTAAATGAATTCATTTTGAATTCAGAATATTTTAATGAATTTTACAGGTTGTCATAATATAAGCTAAATGAATTCTTAATGAATTCATAATCTCATCAGGTTATGTCATGAGTCTTGAGTTCGCAAAGAATTCTTAAAGAATTCTTTTAAAAAACTTTTTATTATTTTTGTGGGGAGAGCTGCTGAAAGACAATTAGAAAGAATTCATTTAAAGTTCATTATGAATACATTGATCATTCTTTAGTACATGTAATGAATTCAT